GGGATCGCCTCCGGAAACGGCCCCCAAGGTGGGGCGGAAGGCTTCGCCTCCCTCTCGCGCCGGGGCGCACTCAGGAGCTCTCTACTCCTCCGCAGACCAGGTTGAGCAGAGCGCAATTCGCGGGGCAACGCTGGAAAAGAACCCTGCGACTCCTTATTGAGCGATTTAGGCTCCTGACAGCTGGTCTCTTTGGCCTCCCTGCCATTTAACTTTCCCTCGTCCTCGGAGTCAGACGACTCCGAGGCTAGAGCCCCGTCCTCCTCCTTAGCATCCTTGTTCCCCTTGACAGACACCTCTCGGGAGCTCCCTGACTGGGCCTGCTCAGATACCCTGCATACTTTTGTAAGCTCTTGAGAGCTTTCTCCACAACCACCCTCGCTCTTAGTGCCGCTACCTAACATGTTTCCCATCTTTTAATATGTTACTCACCGCGTGAGGCCCAAGGAATCCGCCACTTACGCGTGAGCCTGAGGGGAGTCTAAAAGCCCTGTAGGTGCGCGCCACCCAGAGCCCAGGCTTATCCCCAACTCACCTGTCTCGCAGCTCTGTACTGGAGCGTTGTCCACTTCCACGTCGCGGGGGTGATCAGTCCCCGTACGGGCCACCAAATGTCGATGTCCGCTCCCGGCCGGCAGGAAGGACACACGACACAGTCTGGTAGTGGACAACCTTTTCTTTTTATTTTCCTTCTCCGTACAGCCTGCCCTGGGTTCTCCCAGCTGAAGCCTCCTTTGGTCCGCTCCCCGCGGCTCCTTTTGTGCTTCAGCCTGCCCCAAAGCCTCTACCGGTCCGCTCTCCGCGGCTCCTTTTGGGCTTCTACTTTCGGGCTTCTATCTGGCTTTTTCTTCCGCCCAGGGGTGGCACCGGTATATATACGGGTACAGTGTCCAATCATGTTAAAGTAAGCAAGGCAAGCTGATTGGCTAACATCATCAGTTGCCAGGCAGACTATATTGTTGAGCGGGTTGTTTACGCGGTAAGCAGGAAACTAACATATTCGATGGGAGGGGTAATCTACCTCAGGCCTCACTCTTTACTACAGGCCTCACGTCCGCCAAGTGAGGCGACCGGGCTCGGGGCTGCGGCTCCCAACACTTGTTCTTTGATATTTATTCCAAAATAAAGTAAAAGAAGCACAAGTTATGGCTTTGAAGCAAAAATACTCTCTTACCAAATGTATGTGGGAGGAAATGATTCTGAAAGGATTTAAAATCTGGTGGAAGTAGCTGGAAAATTATTAGTTGAAATGTGATTTGTTTGCCAAAACTGTTATGTCGAAAAACTTTTGTATGTATACATTTAAAGATAGAACTTGAGTGGAATCGGTGGAAGTAATTAGAAAATGAATATCAAGGCCTAGTAAAAGGCAGAACTTTTATTATTTTGGGGCTACTAATGTCTTTGAAATATAAAGCTAAATATAAAGAAATACATAGTGAACAGTCCCACTATCCACTTCCTGCAAAAAAAAAAAAAAAATGGATCCTTGGTAAACATCACTTAAATGACTAGTTATTATACATTTGGTATTTAATTAAATAATTGCCTTTAGAAACTGTATATTGTTTAAGGACTGGTTGTATTTTTTATGTGTATTTATACACCCTGGGGCGGTAGTCATTTATTGGGCTGCAAACAATCCAGGCTTAGTGGTAAGTAAGTCCATCCTATGACAACCATATGGCATATGTATTGATTGATTGTATTGATTTCATGTTAGTCGGTGTATCTGAGGTGATTTTCCTGACCAAGAAGCAATTAAAAGGTAGTGCTGAGATGTAAACCCAGATACTCCGAGTGCTGAGTGTCTGTGCTTACCCACAACTCCTCACTACTAGTGGAGTTAAGAATATCTAACACTTACACACTCAGTTACTTACTAATACAATGTAGTAAACAAATTGAGAAATGGATTAACAATCTGAAGATTTTCTCATTTAATTGCCATTCTCCTTGAAAATGACTATTGATGCTGGAGATTTAGCTCAGTGGCTCAAGTACTGCCCGGTGAGCCATGGGGTCATGAGTTTGATCCCTGATACCAAAAAATAAAAATGACTATTGATATATATATATATAGCCATTAAATTACAGTGGCAAAAATGAGTATTCCTACTTCCTAATTGTTAAAAATTCAAATAAGAATTTGGGCAACAATAAGAATCTGTTGTATATAGGATCTTCTTGAATTACCAGAGAAGAAACTACTAGAGTCCTTTGGCAAGGTTTTAAAAAGAACAGTCAGGCATAAAACAAACATCACCAGCCTTTCTTGCTTCAAAGGAGAAAGAAAAGAGAAACTTGCATTTATAAAATAATGAGGAAAATGAAAACGAAAATTATTAGAGGAAATTTGACCATGAAAAATATCTACTCAAAGAAAGAGCTATTTCACCAATCAAAAATACAGATACAGAAAAGAGCTACTTTTTGAGAAATTGTGTCTTGGTTTTTGGTTCTGTGCCCTTCTTTCTCTAAAAGAGATCAGGTAGTAGTTAATCCTGATTGCCAATTTGATCAGCTTGAGAAACACCTAAAAGATTAGTAAAGCACATTTCTGGGTTTGTCTGGATGGTGGCTGGCCATGTGACTGTGTGACTGGTCTGGTTCCTGTTCCTTTTCTCTCTGGCTTTTTCCTTATTGACTCTGTGTCCTGGCTGTTATAACATGAGCAGTTTGCTTCCACCATTCCCATCTGCCATAACATTTGTGTCTTGAAGCCAGCTGACCAGGGACTGAAACCTCTGAATCTGTGAGGCGCATGTAGATATTATTTTTCCTGGCAATGGAAAGAGCACTAATACAAACTCCTATCAAATTTATTGTAGATCCCTAAGAAATCCATGTTCTGTCCTCATCACTGAATCCTCACTCAGTAAGAGTGACCTTCCAGTAAGGATAAATCAATGACTATTATGTGATGCTGACAAGGTTAACTGAGGATAACTACATGGCAAACTAACCACCAAAACTGTAGTGAATTTTCATATAGGTCTTACTATAATCTTCACAGTGCTTATCCTTATTTGTCACATTGCATTTTTAGTTTCTACTTATTATTTATTGACTCAGTATCATTTAGAAATATGAGCTCCATTAAGGTAAGAAATTTGTTAACTACATTTAGAATAGGGCCAATCATGTAATAAATACTTAGTAAATACTTTTTAAGTGGTTGAGTGAATGAATGATACAATCTTAATACCAAACATTTAAATATCTTTGACCTTCTCTCTATAGGAAAGAAATCCTGTATTGTTAAGAAAAATCACATTTAATTAGCAATCCCTTTTCATTCCCTAGTATTTGAAACCAGAATACATGGAGCGGGTACCAAGAAACAGAATGTTTTTGGTTGGTTGATCAGTTTTTTGTTTTAATATATTCAACAAAACCCACGGGCAGCTGGAAAATGGGGGGAAGAGTTTTTCAATACCCCTCAAAATTATTTCTGTATATTCGATAAATAAAATTAATAATATGAATACTTTGGTAGAAAGATCAAGTTTGATTCAAATCTACTTGGGCAGAAGGTCAACACTCCCAAAATGAAGTAAATAAATAGTAGATTTCTATGAATAGGCAGAAAAGAAAAAAACCTACAAGGCCACAGTTCCATTCATTTCACCATCTTTAACTGTGTATTTTATATTGGAACACATATTACAGTCAACTCAAAACTTCTTATTCAGAGGAGAAATCATTTAGGGGCCAGTACTATTTTTATTTTACTAGCTACCATAAATATGTTCTTTCTCATAATAATTTACACTCTTTCAGGAAAGGAAAGTATTAGGTAATACAGTAGGAGAATAAAACAAACAAAAAAAACCATGCTACAAAGTACTTCCTGGAATATTTTGCATGCCTCCAGTAAATATGTACTTATAATAACTGCAATTTTCTCATCATGCCAAAAGAGCCACAATGCTTTCCCTGAACTTCATTGAAAATGCTTTATTAACAGATAACTTTTCCTAAGTATGTTTTTTTGAAAGCCTAATTTCCTCTTCACCCTCCTTATAACCCTGGGTCATGAGCTTCTTACTATGTCAGGCATACAGTAACCACAAGTCACCTAGGGCTGCAGACTGCCTCCTTCCTTCATGGTTAGCAACTTTAAAAACTCTGGTTCATGTGGCTTCTGCACTGAAATGAAGCTGCCATTTTTCAATGTGAATGTCTTTTTTTCTCTGGTGACATAGACAAATGTTGATGTTTACTACAAGTCAGTACATTAGTTGCTAATTAAGTTCCTAGCTGCTCCAGCCAAAACTTGCTGTACCGAATCCAAGAAAAGAATGGCAGCTATGTCAAAAATAAGTTGTTGGGGATTTTTGTTGTTGTCGTTCTGTTTTGTTAAAAGAAAGTTGTCTATTAAAAAATATGGGGAACTACATGCTGGGAGATAGGAAACCTAGTGTTGGCTCCCTCTTCTTAAACTGAGTTGGCGGTGTAAGTTTCCTTTGCAAGTAACAGGGACCTCGTCAAAGCAATATAAATGTTAGCAGGAGACAACCAGCCTGGCAACATTTGCTCACTTGTTTCATGCACACCTGCAAGTTCGCAGAGGTACACACTGTTTTCGGGAAGGCCGGTTCGTTTTAGGAAGGGTGCAGAAATGCCTTCCTCCTGGGGTCTGGGGTCTTCCTAGCTTCATCTCTCCACCTGACCCTTGCAGTTTCCCCCTCAGGCCCGGCCAGACCGCAAAATGTTAACTTCTTCCGGGTCGCATCAAAATCTGGGATCTCCCTCTTCACTTTTTGTTGGGAAGTTCCGAATCACACACATTGTACCGCCTGCATTTTAGCTGACAAAGGGTCTGATTGTTGAAGCACAGTCCCGCCAGGAGGAGGGTATTTCCAAAGCACTGCCCTTACCCTGCGCCAGAAGGAATTATTTGGTTTCTTTTTCTATTCTCCAAGGTGCGCTCCGCCAAAGACCAAAAAGTGACTCCTCCCCCGCGAAAACACACTCCTCCCGAGAAAATGACGTTAGGAAAGTCTGGGCAAGAGAATCGAAACAGAAATTAAAGTCAAGCAAACAGAAAGCGCGGCCGGTCAGAAGACAGAACTCAGAGCGTTCTGCCTGCGCACCGCGCGATCCCGAGTCCGGGGTCCAGCCCGCCCGCGCGCGCGCCCCTCGCCACCTGCGCACCTGGCACCTGCACACCTGCCCAGGTGAGACCCTGCTGGGCAAGGCCTGGGAGCCCCGCGGGACGCCCGTCGTGAGACACGCTGCTGGGGACCTGTGATTCTCGGCAGCCAGCAGACTGAGCCCCAACTGTGTCACCCGTGGAGCTTACAGTTGGGACGACCCGCTCGCTCCTCTGGGAACCAGAGATGTCGAACGCGTATTCCACGGATAAGTGCTTCCGCTATCTCCTCTCGTGCTTCAGGACGCGAGTGAAAATGTACATCCAGGTAGAGCCCGTGCTGGACTATCTGACCTTCCTGCCTAGGGATGTGAAGGAGCAGATTATGAGGACGGCGAACACCTCTGGGAACATGAAGGCAGTAGAACTGCTTCTGAACACCTTGGAGCAGGAGCAGGGCTGGGCCCCCGGTTGGACCCGGGAGTTCGTGGATGCCCTCCAGAGAGCAGGCAGCGCCCTGGCCGCCCGCTACGTGAACCCGGATCTCACTGACTTGCCCTCCCCGTCCTTTGAGACTACTCAAGATGAATGTCTCCAGCTGCTGACCTTGCTTCAGCCCACTCTGGTGGACAAGCTTCTGGTTAGAGACGTCCTGGATAAATGCACGGAGGTGGATCTGTTGACCATTGAAGACCGAAATAGGGTAGGTGTCATTTCAGATGAAGGAATCCGGCCTTTTAGACAAGAGTTTGCAAAGCAGGGGCCTCCTGCACATCTGTCGCATTCCCAATGGCCTTTCACTTCTTTGGGTAAATCTTATTTCCTTCTCTAAAAAGAGAACGTGTAGGCACTTAAAAGATAATTTTAAAAATTTAATCACAAAAGAACTAATTTTCTAATCTTTTCACTGATATAATGAAATAACATTAGAATAAGAATGAGCTATATACTAGTAGACAATGCACATAAACGCTATGTGCAGTTAGTATAATCTTTAAAATGTATCACAGTTCCTACTCAAAATAGCCCATAGAGTCCTAATATTATTAATTCCATTTTACAGATGAGAAAACCAAGGTAAGTCAAATAATGTTTCAAGGCCTCCCTGGAAAAATGCTGGCAGAAAAAAAAAATGCTGGCAGAGCGAAGGTCCTGATGGTATTCAGTATTATGTCTTCCTTGATTTCATTTCATAGAATTGAAGTCAGCAAATTATGGATTGCGAGCTAAATGCAGCTTGCTGCTCATTTTTGCATGCCCATAGCTAAAGGTAGTCTTTAGAGATTTTTTACTTTCAATTTCTCAATGTCTATAAAGTTTTATTGGAACACGATCATGCTCATTTGTTTAAATACTTTTGTTACTGCTTTCTTCCAGGTAAACAGATCACACTCTGCCCTGTACTATACACTATACCATTTAGTGTTGATCTACATAAATTATATGTAACACATATATCACATATACACACATACACATACACCGTTTAATCAGAAAATCTACATTCTGAATCTTTGTCTTTAATCAGAATATCTACAATCTTTAGAATTAAAATTCAATCCAAATACCTACATTCTAAATCTTTGTCTTTAATCAGAATATCTTCATTCTTTGCAATCAAAATTTAGATATACTTCATTGAAAAATATGTTGCTATTTGCAGTTTTCATATTTATGAAGAATTAGTAGATTTTTTAAGGTAACATTTTGGTAGGGTGGTTTTTACAGGTGTCTTTATACTTAATATAATGTTTATTATTTTTCAGCTAGTGCAGACATACCACAAGGTATATAAATGCTGACCTACTTGAATCTGATTTATTCAGGCTTATAAGTTTTGAAAGGTATTTAAACAGATAAACCCATTACTAGAAGTCAAAGCTTTGTCTATACTTTGTTATGATTTTGACTCTTTTTTTTTTTTTTCTTTTTGGTTCATCAGCTGTATCTTCACAACAATGTTCAAGTACCAGATTGATTGAAGATAGCCTATGGGCTGAGTTGGTCTTTAGTAACTAAAGTTTATTGTCCTGTGTAGACTTAACAGCCACAATCCCTATCCAAAGACCTAACTTGCATCCAAATTTGATGACCAGTTTTCTCAACCAGTAAATTACTTTTCACTGTTGTCTGTAGCATTTATGTCATTTTGTGTATTGAGAACCAACTAGAACGCATTATAGTAGTCCAGCTGGATATGACAAATGTGTACATCACTGTGGCAGAATCTTAATTTGGAAGAAAGTATGCAGCCTTCAAGCCAGCTGGAGTTGGAAGATGGCATTTCCAGCCACAGTAGCTGTTAGGAAGTCCAGAAGCAACAGAGTCCAGTAACACCACAAAGCTGTTTGTGTTTCGTGGGTATGATGTCCCGATTGCCAGCGAAACAGCACTTCTCTGTATTTACTCTAAATACTTCTGCCTATCAGCATCACTTTTGTCTTGCCTGGATTCAATTTCTGCCAGCTACATTTTATCCAAGTTCTTGATTCTGGCAGGCTTGGAGGCAGCTAGCAGTAATGCAAGGGATCTGACACAAAGAAAACAGAGAGTAAAGGGACTTTCATGTATTGGGAGTAAAGTAACCAATTTTCCCGTTAGCTTTGTACTTTAAAGAAGTCTTAGAAGAGTGAAGAGCTGTATTTCAGGTTCTCTAAGAATCAGTAATGTGTCTAAGAATCAGTAAGCAGATAATTTTATATGCATCATTTTACATTATCACTTCCAAAATTAAGTTATGATAATAATAGAAAGAAAGCATTACTTTTGGGAAACTGTCCATAAGAGGGTCATTGATGATATTTCTTTTATAGGATCAAAATATGAAATGAAAATCATAAGAATTGAGAATGGAAAGACATGCATTTGAGGTCTAGTGATTTAGGAAAACAGTTTACAAAAAAGAACTATTTTGATATGGTTATGTTAAATTTTACTATCATTTATCTGGTTCTATTTCCTCATAAAGTTACAGTTTCATGGTGTAGGTAAGTCCCTGATGTAAAAATTCAGATGTGTCTTAAAATCCCTAGATAAAATGTAATCGAAGGAAAAACTATCTTTCATCTTTTAAGCTCCCAAAACCTAGTCAAGGCTCAGAGTAGATTCACAAATTAAGTACTATCACTTGAATTTATTTTCAAAAAGTTACCTGGAGTAAGACTTGAAACACACAATGTTCAAGTTGAGTTGACTTTCCAAACACTGGAGAATGGATGAATGATGATCAATAAATTTATAAATTTAATTTTTCATAATTTAAAGTTAGTGTCAAAATTTAATCTTAGGGCAACTAATCAAGTCTTCTAAGAATGTTGTGTTAATTTTAATTTTTCTGGTATCAAATTGACATTTTTTATTAGGTCCACTATGTGTTTAGCATCCTCAAGCCCATGTTTCAGCTCCTGCTCTCAATTACATCATGGTTTCTGATAATCATCTGAGACTTCATTCTGTGCCCAATGAGTATTCAAAGAATGTATTTACTTCATTGATTTACTCATTCACTCAATCTGAGCTTTTGTGTCATATTTCCACCAGATACTATGATAGAAGGCAAAAACCGACATGACCTGTGCTTTCCTGGAGTTTATTTTATAATAATAATCAGAGTTAATTCTTCAAACCAATAATTAATGAATGTCTACTTTCTGTGAGTCATTAATTCTAAATTGTAGAACTCAACAATGAATACAAGCCATTTTATAAATCATAGTAGGTTGATTAATGGCAAGGACATTTCCTTGTGTTCTGTTTGTTTTAGGAGGCTTAGTGACAACTTGGCACATCCACTTTCTTAGACAGTCTTGAACTCTGAAACAGAAGGGATTATATAAATGTTTCCATAGTGTCATAACAACAGTTTGAACGGCTAAAGAGAGGCACGTGTCTTACTTAGATGAAATATTAAACACCTGTAGTCTTGCTGTCCCCATTTGCCCTCCGTTTATGTAAGAAGACCAAGACACCAGGAGTAGTCCAGTTGGAAACTGGAGAGAGCCCAGTTCCAACACAAAACATGAAATGGCATTTCCAAGTAAGTCTCCCCTGGTTAACTGTAATGTTAGCAAAACTATGAAGGACATACATTTTGGAAGAAATAAGGGGAGGAAGAGGAGGAGACAGAAGGAGAAAAGGGGAGCTGGAGAAGAGGAGGAGGAGAAAAAGAGGAAGAAGAGAATGGGAAATTAGTTGTATCACTTTAGCAGGGTTCCTTTCATTAGGACATGAAAAAATTCTTTGTTTTTAAGATATAAATTTTGTTTGCTGATTTACTGTTACGTGAGAGTTGAAGTCTGCTAGCTTCAAAGATCAGAATTATAGTTAAGTACAGTATCTATCTAAGATTATCATAAGAGGGAAAGAAAGCATTTTCAGTAAAACTTATACTTCTTTAGCAAGCCAGTATTTTATGAAACTATCTTTGGTTTCTCCACTGATTGTGTTGGAAAGAAAACTTATATCAAAGAATTTAGAACATCGAAGCTTTGAGTTGTTTTGCTCACAAAGTCATCTATATTCTATATTCCATACACTACTTAGCAGTGTATTCAGACATTTTTAACTTCATTCCAAAGAGAATTTTGAATTTTCTAGCACTAGAAATGTGAAAAACTTAAAAGATTTATTTAAAAAATCCCAAATCTTGATGAAGCTACTAAACTGCACAGATACTATACTTGTAGGAGATAATGGTAGCGTGATTCTCAAATTCCTGAGTTCAGTAAAGCAAAGAAAACTTTACAAGTGTGATTCTCAAGAAAAAATAAATTTAACAGATTAATACTTAAAGAAAACGAGGTAAAGTATGCTTAGATTTTCAATAAAAACATTTTAAAGATACCTTATTGACCCTCTTTGGGGAGACTTTTAGATTACTCCTGTTAGACATATATTAACATATCTGAAAGATGGATTAATAAAAACAGAAATGTTTTCAGTTAAAATAAGATGCTAAGTCAGTCTTTCTTGTGTCTTATAGCAATCAATTCTCAAATTAGCAGATAACAAAGCTTTACAAACACCAGATGAAGTAAAGAATTTCTATTAGGAGATTGACGAAGTCAAGGAAAAATTAGGAAATGAGCAAGCAACTGCTTAGAAAATACTATGGAAGACATGGACCAAAGTCACTTACATGTTTAGTTCAGAGTTGTTTTAACCACTACTTTCCAGGAAATCAAACTAAAATTGGAGGTATTTATTAGCTAAAGTGATTGCTCAAAAAAGCAGAATTTAGCCTACAGGACCTAGGATGGAATTCTATTTTGCTATGTACTAGCTGGCGATCTTAGATATGTAACTAAATACCTTTATTTTGAATTTCTAGCCTAAAAAAGGAAGATTTGATACCTGTTCTAGTGCTTCTGGGTTAGTATATATCATCTTTGGAACAGCATTCTTAAACTACTAGGTAGCAAGACTAAAATATTCTTTGAGTGAAAATTGTACCGAACACACTTCTGTTCTAAGTAGTAGTGTCTACTGGCAATGTGTTTGTAAAAGTAAATAATTTTCCTAGTCATCTTAGTGATAGCTGATACAGTACCAAATTTGTGTCAGACAGGGTTGCACTGCTAACAAATCCCTAACATTAAAAGATTTTGAAGTAGAAATGTATATACATTATCAAAAAAAAACTTGTCTAAGCAATCCAAATTACACATATGACTGACAGGTGTTAAGAAAGAATTTAAACAATATCTAAATCATTATTTCTCATGTAGGATGCATATTAGAAACACATGAGATTGCTGAAAAATTGCTTGAAAAATATGTGTTTTGACAAAGGAAACCAGAATCTTTTAGGGATACTCCCTAGACAAGAGTTTCTTCTGGTTCATTGTGGCTTCTGTTAGTTTCTTGTCCATTTTGTTACACTTTTAGAATATGAGAAAAGTCACAGTGATAATGATTACACAAATGATCCATAGTTTTAAAAGTTTTTTAAGATTAATAGAAAAGAGAATGCAAATAAAAGTTAATGATCATAATCAATGGATATAAAAATAAGTCTTCCCCATAACTTGTTATCTTCATCATAATATAGTTCTCAAAACATTAACAAAACTTTGGGAATTTTATTATAGCAATAATAAATAACGCAATTATTAAATAGAAAAAATATAAATCTGCTCTAATAACATTTGCTTAATAAATCTGATGATGAAATAAAGGAAGAGTTAGAAAACAAATACTTCCACTTGTAAACGTCACAGGTTGGAAAGAAATAGCAAACCACAGATACGCAGAAAAAAGTGGGTGAAAAGAGGCATAGTGTGGCTACAGATTAAATATCCTTTGTCTTGCAACCCTTATTCAGAATGGCTAATAAAAGATTTATTTCCCAAATGTCAGATTTGAATATTTCCGTGACTTTAAAAAGTGGCGCATGTTGAAAAAGTTTCTTAGTTTAATGATGTTCTTTGCAGACTGACTCCAGAACTGCTATTAGTAGCACTGCGGGTTTCTTTAATGTTCAAATATAAGCCTTTTATATTGTATTTAACAGTTCAGTTTTCCTAAAGGATGTTTTCTGTTTACATTTATTCATAAGATGTTTCATGTTCTTTAACTCTGTTTGTTCCTTAAAATAGATTTCTGCTGCAGAAAACAATGGGAATGAATCAGGTGTGAGAGAACTACTGCAAAGGATTGTACAGAAAGAAAACTGGTTTTCTACATTTCTGAATATTCTCCATCAAACAGGAAACAGCGCCCTTGCCCGAGACTTAACAGGTGTTGATCACTCTGAAAGCAATGCAGGTATTTCTAATTTTACTAAGGAAAATTTTACACATTTTTCCAGTGATGCAGTTTAAAATGAAGCCTGGAAACATAATGTCAAACATCAAGATTTTTAGAATCACAATTCTATAGTGAGAAGGGATTTGGTAGATCATTTACTTTAATCTCCTTTACAAGTGAGGAACTCGATGTTTGAGAAAAAATTTAGCTTATCAGAAACCATGAAGTTTGGCAAGCAAGGCTTGAATATTGGTGGTTGACGTCTAGTTCAACCAACAGTCTACTATCAGTCTAATTTTGGAAATATGATAACAGGCTGAAACTTTTATGAAGATAATCTTAACATTACACAAGATGCAAGTAAATTGAGAAAATGCTACAGCATTTAAGGTAACTGCTCCATATCTTTCCGAATATTTTAATTAATTTTTAAACCATTTGGCAAAGGACTTATAATTGCCAAAATATTTCAACCTTATTTAATATGAAATTTTATAAGTATTTGACAATAATACTATTTATAGACCTTCTGTGTTTGTTAGTTGTGAATCTAATTTAAAATGCCACTTTAGTTTTCATAGTATGGAGACATGACAAACTTTTAGCTACCAGTCAGATATCTTCAGGCCCAAAGGAAGAGTCAGTACTTTTCGGAAAAAAGAATCTCTAAATCCTAATTACATTTTAAAAGTGATTGTAAAACTGAAAAAAAAAATTCTATGTTTTCCAAGCTATCCTATATTAGTCAAATTCAAAGTTAATTGTTAACCCATTAATTATAAATGTTACAGTCATTGAAAGCTTACTTCCCTTCACTCAGTCTTCAATGAATACATGTCAGATGTGCTTACCACTGTTCTAGGCACCTAGATCCACACACCATAACTTCTAGTGGAATGAGAATCACACTGTTTCCTGAATTACACATGCAATGTACAAGCGGACAGTCCTACCTGGTATAAAAAAAGCAAGCAGTGAACTAAAATAACTAAATTATTGAAGAAACAGCACATTATGCTTCATGGTATATTATTCTTTGAAATATCTTAATTTTTCCCAATAGTTTGAAATACAGAAATGTATGAATGTATTTATTTTATTCATTTAAAAGTGGTTCATTCAGCTTTCAGATGTCAGACAATAGGAGTATTTCACTTTCGAATGCTCCCTACTCGTTCAGGGTAGCTATCTTCTTTCGCTTTCTCTCCTCTCTTTTTCTCCACCTTCAAATAAACCATCTTCTCTTTTTTAAAAAAAAATTCAGACAATAATTCTATGGCGTATCCACCAGCAAACTCTGTGTTTCTACTCTCATTGCTTCTTTGGGTACATATATGTACCTATATATAGAGAGAGACAAGAAGGGACACAGAGAAAGGAGATGGAGACAGAGGGGAAAGGAGAGGGAGAGGGAAAAGAGGGAAGAGAGAGAGAATAAAGAGACAGTCAAGTATTTTAATGTGAGCTATTAAAATGCTAAGAATTATACAAGAGCATTAATAAACCTATGTGCAAATGGACTAGGAGAAGTAGAGTGTAATCAAATGACATGATGAGGTCACCGCTCTTTACCCCCACACAAACATTATGCAGTGTCATATGTTTGAGGTCAACGAAAAGTAAAAAACTCAAAAGACCCTACACTTAGCATTTCTTTCTGGAATTATTCAAGAATTTGGGGACCTAGTCAAACATAATCAATCTGACTTTTACAAGTTTGATAGAAATGTCACGATCTTTCTTTCACCAAAGTCCAGGGTTTCTAACCTATCACTGTTTCCATTTACCCTACCAAGTGTATTTTACCAAGTGTTATCCTACCAAGTGGACCAATAAAATGGTCCACTTACCTGCAACATCTAGACAACGGTTTCTTGTAAATGTCAATCCCCAGACACTCTCCCATAGCGTAAGTCTATTGTCAGTTGTCTAAGTCTGAAAGGGTTTATAGTCAGAAGTATGGACCAAACCTATCACATCAAGGGTTCCCGTGTCTAGACCACCTCATCTTTGTTAAACACCTTTTTACAACCTCATGAGATGATTAGCATCTACTGATAATCATTCTAAACCTTGAGTTACAATGAAGAATGGCAATGGTCTAGATGTTTTGTTTCCTTGTTTGTTTGTTTTTTTCTGAGGAAATTTCGGCCTTATTGTGCCAAGGAATGTTACGGAGGACAATTTTTCATACCAAAAGCCCTTGTTATACTCATCTCCTTAGAGGGCATCTATTCATTTTATGTTCCCACATCCTCCTGACACAGAGCCTTATGTCAGAATATTTCTTGCTAATTTTTCTTTTGCTTTGTGGTGCTCAAACTCAGAGACTAATGCAAGCTAGGTAAGCACTTTACCAGTGAGCTGTATACCTCGGCCACTAAGAGATTTTTAAGTTCCACTGTACAGATGCCTTGTAGATGTTTATTGTTGTTTTTCAAATGACAGTTTTTTGGTTTTTTTTGTCTTTTTCCTTTTTATGGGTACCGGGGATCAAACTCATAACTGCCTGCTTGCAAGGCAGGCGCTTATGCCGCTGAGCTAAATCCCCAGCCCCCTCAAATGACAGTTTTTTTAAAAAAGCAAAAACAAAAGGTGAAGTATATCTCATAAATTCAAGGTAATGTGAGTTTTTCAACAAAATTTATCATACACATATAATATCATTGTGCCTTCCTTGATACTTTCCTAATATGCCATAACTTCATACTGTGACTAAGTGTTTGTGAGTCTAAGAATGGCTTTGGGACTAATTTATTTTGATTCCCTCCACCCAGCCACATCTACTATTTGGCCAAAATCAAGAACCTCAGAAAAATAGGAAAAGCCTGATTACAAAATGAAACAAAAACAAAAACAAAAACAAAACAAACAGGCACCAATTACTCATCTTTTCCTTGCTCTCTGGGTCCACAGAAGTCCCCTCTTGTGATTGGAGTTCATCTCTAGTGGATGATGATAGATGTTAATTAACTCAGCTATCTAGCCATTATGCAGACAGTGGATGCTGTAGCAGTGGGTCTCTAAACGTCCTTTGAAGGTTGAATGGAAAATGCCAAACCCTATGGGCTCTTCTACCACCAAACATCCATTCAGACCCTTAACCATTCCACATGAATTTCCTTTTCATTTCCTCAGAAAATCCAAATCAGGACTGTCAGTGATGTGAATACAGAGTGTTTTTCCGGCAGGCCTACATGACAGGAGCAAATTCATTTGTGGCTGTTCTTGTGGGAAGAACAAGCACTGAAAGATGAGCTGATGATCCTCTGTGGTGTCCTCTCATAGCATATATTTTGAAATCTTAATCCTCAGTGTGGCTATAGCTTGAGACAGAGAATTAAGAGGTGATCATGGTCAAATGAGGTCACAGTGGTGAGGCCTCCATACAATACAACTGTGGCCTCGTAAGAACAAGAGAAAGAAATCTCAGTTTTCCCGTCATGCATAACAGTGTGAGAAGGCAGCCATGTGCAATGCAAGAAAAGACGCATCCCTGTGTCTACTGTCATCCTGGTCTTAGATGTTCAGTCTCCAAAACTGGAAAAGATGCTGTTTATGGAACCTACTCTATGCTATTTTTGTTCTCATGACCTAAGCTAACTAATATATATTTTGGTATCAAACATCATGATCCTGCTTTTTAAAAAAAAATACGAAAGCACGTGAAAGTGACTTTAGAACTGCTAATGGGTAGACAGAGGACGATGTTGAGGTGAATGCTAGCCATAGATATGTTAAGGGTGATTCTGGTTTGTTCTTAGTAAGAAATGAGGAATGTTACTGAAAACTGAAAGAAAGATGGTCCTTATAAAATGGAAAAGATCTTGATGAATACATGTTCTTATATTTTGGGGAAGGTAGATCTTATGGGTAATGAAATTGGATGCAGTGTTTATCAGGGATGATATTTAAATAAAATGTTTTAGGAGTGTTTTTCTCTCAACTGCTTATGGTAAAATTCAAAAGAAGAGAATGTGAACTAAAGAAGCAATTGCTAATTCAAAAGGGACCAGAATTTGAAGACCTGAAAAATTCTCAGCCTATCCTTATTACGAAAAATTAAGATGGTATATTCTGAATTATTGTGTGATGGACACATACTGTATTTGATAAAGAGATGATAGGGTGACTCGTGTACTTCCTCATTTTGGCAGAAGCCAAGGATAAAGACATCACTGTGCCAGCAGAGACACTATCAGTTTGCTTAAAGGGGATAGAGAAGACAGAATGGAACGAAGGAAGGTTGTCACACTTCTGTTGAAGCTTTTTGTCTGTGACTAGGTACTGTTCCTCAAGGAAAGCACAGAGTAACCCCAAAGCAATACAGAGCCCATCAGGGTTGCCTGTTCCCCCATGGCCCAGGGAGCAGAGCTTTTTTCCTCCTTGGTTTCAAAGGATGTGGCTGCATATTTGGGTTGGATGAGATGTCTTGCAGGTGGAAATACCTCACAGACTGCTGCAAAGGCAAGATTCTAAGAAAACAAAAGGGATCTGGTGTGATTCTGCCACCCCAGCTGGTTCAGAGGGCAGAATATTAAACCAAAGTACTATTCTCTGTTTGTTTGGGTTATTAGTTGGGTTGTTAGTTTCTTCTTTTCTTTTGGCTTGATTTTCTTTTTCTGGTTTATAAGCGTTTTTTGTTTGTTTGTTTGTTTGTTTGTTTTGTTTTGTTCTGTGAGAGAGTTTCACTACGAAGCCCAGGCTGGCCTTGAACTCGCAGTGATACTCCTGTCTCAGCCTCTGAAGTGCTGGCACTACAAGCATGTGGCCCCACTCCTGGAGTGGTTTGATTTCTTTCTCTAGGATCTCACTGTGTAGTTCAGGCTGGCCTTGAACTCACCATATAGCCCAGGCTGGTCTCTGATTTGCAGTAATCCTGCTTCAGCCTCCCAAATGCTGGCATTACATGGGTGTGTACCGCATCCTTCATTTTCCCCCCCTTTGGTGGTTGTTTTTTAGTTGGCAGGACAGAGTTCAAGAGAATTATTCTTGAGCTTTAAAATCTAATGGAATTTGTCTTGCTAGGTTTTAGACTTGCTTGAAACAAAGCTTTTTCTTTCATTCGTATGTGTATATATCATATATTTTGTTTTGTTTCACTTTGAATGCAGTATAAATATTAGTCTGCAACACAATTACATTTTGGAATCACATAACTTCATTTGCTATAAACCCATGAGTTTAGAGCTGGAAGAGAATTTACCTGAGGCTGAATCATACCTGGAGTCTTACACAGATCTAATTTACACATAATTTAGATAGACTTCTGATTTAGACTTTACATTTTGATTCTACAATGAGATAAGCCTTTTGAAACTTTTAAGGAAAATGAAAGTATTTTGCATGCAGTGGGGTTATGTTATGGAAAAATGTAGGATCCCCCAAATCATAGATTGAATCCCTAAATCCCCATTATAGCTGAATCGGGAGATAGTGTTTTAGGAGTAATTAAGATTAAATAAATTCATAAAGGTGAGAACCTATGTCAATATAATTGTGATTCTACAAGAGGAGGAAGAAAAAAGAGCACTTCTTTTGCTCTCCATCATGTGAGGTTAGTGTCAGTAGCTAAGAACATTTCACAAAGAAGTCCGAAGTAAATTTCTGTTGTTCCAATAGTCAGTCTGTGGTGTGCTGTTATGGCAGCACAGACAGATGGATATAAGATCCTCGTTCTTTTGGCCCATTAACTCCTAGCTCTGCCCTTGAATTTGTGACCTCTGTCTAAGAACATGACTTCACCCTACTCATCTGTAAAATGAGGATCATGATATTATTTATCACCTAGATTTATTTTGCACATTAAGACTTGCTATGTATGAAGTGCTTTATTATAAGCACAAAATAAATTGGCTACTATAAGTATAAACCCCAAACATACTTAATAACTAATTTTGAACTTTTTCAAGTTGGCTTTTTATCTGAAGTCACAATCATTTTCTTCCAGAAAATTCTCCATGCAAAGTTAGACACATTTCCTCTTGTATTTTAAGGTGGCTACTAATTTGGGGTGTTTATTTTAAAACAACAATAATGATGCAGAATTTCAAAACAGCATTAATAATAGAAGATTAACAATGGTTATTGCATTGCATGTTGTTATCTTTAAAGTAGTTGCTCAGATTACAAGATACAGGCATGAAAAATGATCAAACAATGAATGCACAAACTTCTTTTTTGATGACCTAACAGATTAGTAGAAGAATTATATGTATAATTATATATATGAAATATTTTCTCTTCTTTCTTTTCTCCTTTCTCTTATCTTAGTTTTTCTTTCCTTTTGAGAAGTTTGTCTTTCACTTTTACAATATCTATCGTGCATTTTGGATGCACGATACTTATGCTTTCCTTTTTTTTTACAGTGGGAAGACAATATCATGTTTCCATGAGATTCTAATTTCTTTCACTTGTGAGAATGGTCTCAAGTTGCATCTATTTACCTATAAAAGCCTTGAATTTATTCTTCTTTATAGCTGAGTAGTACTTCATTGTATAAAAATACCACATCTTTTTTTTTAATCTGTTTCATGGTTGGTGGGCATTTGAGTTGTTTCCAAGATTAGACTACTACAAATTTCTATAAATATGGATGTGAATATACGACTGTTGTATGATGTTTTCATTTTTTCAGGGAAAATACCTATACGGGGAATACATGGATCAAATGGGACCTTCAGGCCTAGTTTTTTTGAAGAATATCCACACTGATTTCCACAGTGGTTGTATCAGTCTATACTCCAACCAACAATGGGGAAAGGGTTCCTTTTTCCCCATAGCCTCACTAGCATTTGTTATTGGTTGATTTCTTGAGGATAGCCATTCTTTTTGGAGTGAGATGGAATCTCAGTGTTATTTTAATTTGTAATACTCAAATGATCTGTGATGTTGAATTTTTTCATATGCTTATTTGCTGCTTGTATTTCTTCATTTGAAAAGTGCATATTCATCTCAGATGGTGATGGGGGCTAATTTGAAACCATACTTGAAGAAATTTTCTTAGGTGTGGTTGCACACACCTCTAATCCTAACACTTTTGGAGACTGAGACAAAAGCATCCCTAGTTTGATCTCAGACTGGACAACTTAGCCAGACCCTCTCTCAAAATAAAAAGTAAATTAGTAAAAATATAAAAAGGGATGGAAATATAGATCAGAGCAGAGACCTTGGGTTCAATCTCTACTAATACAAAAAAAATTTTTTTCCTTATGGCATCTAACTTCTCTAACAGATTGTAGCCTCAAAAGAAACATAAATTATTGTTTTTCTTTGTATTCCACAGAGCCTTTAGTGAAACACTCAATGCACATTGGTTCAGGGCTGAAAGGCACGAAGTGGAATGGTAGAAAGAAGAAAAAAGAAATACAGACAATTTTGCATATTAAGAAAAATGCTCCAAGAATTCAGAATACATGAATTTAGTCTGACATTAAAGCAGATGTACATCATCACGTATAACATACAGAGCGAGGGAACAAAATGGCAAGAGCACAGCTAAAGAAAAACTACCACATTTACATTTTCATTAATTCAGCCTTAAGTCATCTGAATCACCGAGTCAGAGACTTAATGCTACGGAAAATGGTCAGAGGGGAAGTCATCTCACTGTCCTCAGGATTAGCATAATAGTTATTAGGTCATAGTTTTAGGTAAAATGTAATCATTACAAAAATTACTCACTGTGTTCATATTGAAAGTAAAAATATTGTGTCATAACAAAACACTCATTCTAAGCCTTTCAAGATTTCACAGTTTTAAAGCATATCACAGCAAATCTCTGTTGTGCCTCAGTTTTATTTTCAAAACTAACAATAAGAGCTGTTGAAATTATATACAGTTCTACATTACACTTCAGTCTTCCAAGGTGTATAAGTGTATGCAGATAATCTCCAGTTGATAACCTCTTTTCTTTTTTAATAAAAGCAGCATTTATTTATATTGTTAGCATAAAAAATGTTGGTCCGTCATTTATACTGTATATTTTATTCACAGAGATTGAGAATTTGCTATATGAAGATGGTCCTGACATTAATGAATCACTTTGTTCAGCCAAAGAGCAGCCAAATCTGGAGAAAAAGGAGTGGGACGTGGAGAATAATTTGTCAGAGTCGTCATTTGCAGATTCTTCTGTAGTTTCAGGTACTTGAAATGTGTAGATACTTTACATACACTTTCAGAGTTGTTTTTTTCAGAAAAATCAGTTGGAGTATGAAGGACATCAGTATCTATTAAACATGGAGGTGGGAGGGATTTAAGCACTGGACTTTGTGAGCATTTTTATTAAAATAATACTTTTAGAAGATTAGATTAAAATAATTCCTCTTTGGCTTAACCATTTTAAATAAATGTAACATTAATGTGCTATAAATATGAACAATTTGTTTCTAAATTTATTAAGAAATTGGTGGTCATTCTAATATGATTAGTATCATAAGCATATGCCGTATTTCATGGTTCCCAAAATAAATACATTAATCAGTTTAACTCACTGAAACCTCCTCGAAAGAATTAGGACACTTACGTTTCCCTAGTTTTACAGACAGAGAGCTCAGAGATTTTCAACTGTTTTAAAAAGGAAGGTGAACAGATACTAAAGTAGAGTTGGCTTGGATTTCAGTAACTAGTTGGTATAAAGACCAAATACCAACATCTCTACCTTTTTGATATTGAAACAACCCTGGAAAAGGCAAAGTAATCATTTTTTCCCTTCTTTAATATATACTCATGGTGGGAGAATCCTCTTTTCTTTCCTTTCAAATGCCCACATTATATTTTCACAAGAAATAATTAAAGTCTATGGTATGCTAATAAATGTAAAAAGTAGCTTTCTGGGGAAGGAAAAAAGCCTTGATGTTTAATATCATTTGCCAATATCTGTGGCATGAATATTTCAGTCTCCTTGGCCTAAGGTCCCCAGTCACCAGTCTGAGAAGAGATGTGCAGTAATACTGTATCGCCGCATAGCATTTGCAATGTATATGTACATGGATTAAGATCATACATCACAGTAAAATCTTCAAATGATTAGAAAGTGATGAGTTTTAAGTGTTTTCTCCCATTTAAAATTAATTTATCTAATTGTAAATTTGCATAATTTTTTAAAAGGCTGTGCTTAAGAATTGACTTACAATGTTTTTAAAATTTTAACCATTGGCTTTTGTGAGTTGGTATAAATTAACTCTCATATACCACTGCAAAGTCTATTATTTCTTCTTACAAAGTAATAGAGCTGCATTGCAGAAAACTTAGGATGCACAGAAACACACAAAGAAATCTCTCATGTTCGCACAGTATAGCAATGATACTAATGCATGTCTTCTCACATGGCAAGTTATGTATGTATAATGGCATGTTTCCTGTGCTCAGTATGTGTTCCTCTATAAGGTGACTTTTAATGACTCAGTATTAGTCCCATAATTTGGATGCAGTATAATTAATTAACCAATTGTTAGACATTTAGTATAGGGGCTGGGGATTTAGCTCAGCAGCATAAGTGCCTGCCTTGCAAGCAGGCAGTCGTGAGTTCGATCCCTGGTCCCGATAAAAAGGAAAAAGACAAAAAAACAAAAAACAAAAAAGACATTTAGTATCTTTCCAAATTACATCATGAATAATGTGTTGGTATCCTTCTGTACTAGTGTTGCAGCTTGCTTTTTTTTTTTTTTTTTTTAAACTACTGATTATATTGTCTCACCTATGTAATTTGAAATTTCTGGTTCAAATGACTTGTTTGATAGTCAAATTTCACTGTCCCAATTTACATATCCTTCTACAGTAGAGGAGAGTGAATTTTTTTCTATGCAAGTTCAGAGTATCATCCATTTTCAGTCTTTGGCCAGTTTTGTTTGCTATGGTATTTTCTTATTTGAATTTCTACTTAACTATTTTTGCAAGTTCCTTTTCTTCGTGTTGATGTTGACTGTGTATTCATTTTCCTATCAGGATATTTATGTTCTTCTTGCTGATTTATATAAACTATTGAAATTTATCGGGTATCGTTCTTTTGTATAAATTGTGTCAATAGTTTTTAGGATTTGATTGCTTTTTAGGCTTGTACTATATTGCTTTGTTGCTTTCTGTTACACAGTATGTTAGGTTTGTTTTTTAATGCAATGCTTCTAAACCATATGGAGGAGAGGTTTATTGAAATTCTGATGCTGATTCAATAATTTTGGAGTAGGGCATGACATTCTTTTTCACGAGCTTTCAGATGCTGCTGCTGCTATTGGTTATGGATCATACTTTAAGAGAAAATTTCATTTATAAAATAACAAAACTTTGAAACCTGAATTCCAGTGGAGCTCCACCCACCCCATTTAAATACCTTCAGATATCAGTATTCTGTGAGGATGCCAAAATCCACAATCTGAAGGTGGAATTTTTATGTTTTAATAAACTCTCTTGATAGGCTCCCCGACATCTCTTAGGAAGTTTTATAAATCCACCCTAAAAAGGATTGGAAACCAAATTGAAGCCAAAAGATAATCATGCATTTTAAATGAGGGCTTTTCATCAAAATGTACCAGGTGCAACTTATCAGCTTTCTGTTCATCTACTCTTAGTTTCAAAGTGAACAAAATTAAAGGCAAAGATTTTAAATACTTTTCTCCTTTTTCACTTTTTGTTAAAAGGTTTCATTTTGTTCCAATTTTAAGTTCATCTTTTGAGAAAATTTCAATTTTGATAATAACCATACGGGAGAGAGAAGTTTTGGAGGGATTTATTTGTTTCCACTGTGGGACTGTCACCCATGTGGAAGTCATCCTTAGCTCTACTCACAGTAAATGCTATGGAAAAAATTACAGAATATTAAAACATGGGATACCCTGAAATATCTAGAAACCCCGAACTATCCAATTATTCAGTTAGCTAATAGAAAATGGGTCTCATCCAATTCACAATCATCTTGTAGAATGTGGCATATTTATGATGTCTAGGCTTCTCTTATATATTTGTAAGCAGGATAGTCCGATCCATGCAGTCCCTTCCTAGGGCAATAACAAGGGTAACATATTTGTAAATATGTGTTGCCTTTGTTCTTAGGCCTTGCTGTAGCCACTGCTGCTTATACATGCTATGAGTCATTTCAAATTGTCTGTTGATTTTCTTCATCTTAAGAACTAAGAATTATCGATAGAAATAATATAAAACATCATTCACCCAGAGAAGTTATTGAAGCTGTTTTGGTTGAATTTTTGTAGCAAAATGTAATGTAGAAGAAATTTGCATACCAAGGCATTCTCAGAATTAACAATCAAAATAAATGTGAAAGTATTCCATGGTCCCTAATTTGTATTGCATAATTTGTCATATATTTTCTTGATATTGGCAATGTATCTTTCTTTTGAATTCCAAAATATTGGGTTAACATTTCAAATAGTTGCCAAAATAGTAATGAAAGAAACTTATACTTAAGCTATATACATTCTTTAAATATGATTTTTTCATGTACAGGGAGAAAAAAGTGACAAATTATTACCGAAATTGAGACATGCCATGATTATTTCTGAACCAGTTTTGTGATTGATTTCAGTTGTATTAGGGCATCCAAATACTGTTAATCATTTATATTTTTAATCCAAAGAGTCCTCATGTACTGTTTTTTAGCATACTTTACTATTTAATACATCTAACCACTAGTGTTAGTAACAGTGGTTCACCCTGAAACCGATCATAATCGCATCTGTCTTTCACCTGCAGGTTAGTGTATCAAAATTCTCTCACAGATGATTTTGGAGAGAAGTTTTATTTTGTCTCTACATGCAGAGCTGGCGCTTCTCCCTCCTTTCTTCTATTGACAATCAGTTGCTTCACATTAAGATGTAGAAAAATTAATTACCCTTTTCCAAGTTAATACACTAATTTCTAAACAACATTTGAACATTTCTCACACTGTTAATATGATTTTAATGTTGTATGTAATATTGCAATTTGGGAAGTAACAAAAGTATATTGCAAAACTTTGGTATTTCTTCAAACCATATTTCTCTGGAAAACACCAGAGAAACACAAAATGTACATTTGTTTTCTTCTGTTAAAATACATTACAGCAAGAAAATAGTTTAATTTTGTAATTTGCAGCTAAGTTGCTCAATCATTTTTAATTGCCTACTTGTTTTATCAAAACAAGTAAGTTGTTATTTTAAATCACCCTTATTATATTTTCCTAGGAATTAATGCCCCATGATAAAATAAAATAAAATAAAATAAAATAAAATAAAATAAAACAAAATAAAATAAAATAAAATAAAATAAATGATATTTGGAAATAAGTAAAATTTAAGTAAACTTACTTTTGAGCAAAGTTGAACCGAAAATCCAGAAACTTTGTCACTGTTAGATTTTCCCGTTGTGGATTTAGAAGTGTAAATGCCTTCTATTGACCAGAAGAGGGCGACGTTACACTTATAAAGAGATCAAAATTTCACTGCTGCAGTGTGGAAAATTATCATTTAACTGCAGAATGTGCCATGTGTGAACACATAGTGCGCATGACTATGAATGCATGTGTATATTTTGATTTATATATTCGTTCACGTGAAGATTTTAAAATTCCACCCCAGCTAATGAGCTCACCAACCTGCTTGTTTTCAGACTTTAATACCTTCTTTTTCATATTCCCCCATATGTTCAACTCCTTAGGTTTATCCGGTGACATTATGCTTTGGAATATATTGTGGATATATTTTGCATAGATCATGTTCTGTAGGAGGGGTTTAAAAATTGACCTTTATAAAACAGCCTTCTTCTCCCTAGCCCAATCTGTTGTAGCACTTTTTTTGTTGTTGTTGTTTTGTTTTGCCTTTTTATAGACCAAAGTCCAATCTTAGATTTGGTCTATACTAATTTCTGTAAAAGTGCCACACAATTTATCCTTGCACTTAAGGACCAGAATGTGATGCAGCAGAAACCTGTAAAAATCTAAAGACTTTTCAGAATCTCTAGAAATAAAATATCATAGCATTTGAGATCTAGATGAAAGAGATAATGATATCATATATAGTATATAATAACACTGTCTCAGAATGTCTCATAGATGCTTCTTTATTCTATATTTTAAAAATTTACTTATCATTAATTATTGAGAATTAAAAATACTACTGAGGCAGTTCCGAGGCAGACAGTAATTTGAGTTTGGA